GGAGGAGGAGGAGGAGGAGGAGGCGGAGGATGAGGAGGAGGAGGAGAGAGAGAGAGAGAGAGAGGAGAGAGAGAGAGAGAGAGAGAGAGAAGAAGAAGAAGAAGAAGAAGAAGAAGAAGAAGGAGGAGGAGGAGGAGGAGGAGGAGGAGGAGGAGGAGGAGGAGGAGGAGGAGGAGGGAGGGAGAAGAAGGAGGAGGAGGAGGAGGAGGAGGGAGGGAGGGAGGGAGAGGAGAAGGAGGAGGAGGAGGAGGAGGAGGAGGAGGAGGAGGAGGAGGGAGGGAGGGAGAGAGAGGAGGAGGAGGAGGAGGAGGAGGAGGAGGAGGAGGAGGAGGAGGGAGGGAGAGAGAGAGAGGAGGAGGAGAGGAGGAGGAGGAGGGAGGGAGGAGGGAGGGAGGAGAGAGAGAGAGAGAGAGAGAGAGAGAGAGAGAGAGAGAGAGGAGAGAGAGAGAGAGAGAAGAAGAAGAAGGAGGAGGAGGAGGAGGAGGAGGAGGAGGAGGAGGAGGGAGGGAGGGAGGGAGGGAGGGAGGGGGAGAGAGAGAGAGAGAGAGGAGAGAGAGAGAGAGAGAGAGAGAGAGAGAGAGATATCAATTTCCATACCACTGATTCTTGTATGTGCCTGGGAGGGGATAGAAAGGGAATAGAACCCACAACCTTGGCATATCGGGACACTAACCAACTGAGCTACTAGGCCACAGAATGGAGCTTTTATTTTGTTTAACATAACTTAAAAAATGTTTATTTCAGAGAAGAAGGGAGAGGGAGAGTTAGAAACACTGCCTCCTGCACAACCCCACACTGGGGATCGAGCCCACAACCTGGGCATATGCCCTGACTGGGAATCAAACCATGACCACCTGGTTCATAGCTCCATGGCTCAACCACTGAGCCACACTGGCTGGGCAGAGGTAAAGTTTTTAAATCCTTTGGAATATGAGAATACATTGGAATTTCTGATTACATTTATTGTTTATCCCAGCCTTTTAAAACCTCAAGGGAATGTGTATTATGTACGCAATACATTGGTACAGAGGTATATATTTTTTGAGCACATCACATAATATATTTGGCCTGGACAACCACTTTTATTTTTTAAAGTATATTTTATTGGTTCTTCACAGAGATGGAGAGAGAAAGTTAGAAACATCGATGAGAGAGAAACATCGATCAGCTGCCTCCTGCACACCCTCCACTGGGGATATGCCCGCAACCAAGGTACATACCCTTGACCGGAATAAAACCTGGGACCTTTCAGTCCACAGGCCGATGCTCTATCCACTGAGCCAAACCGGCTAGAGCTGGACAATCACTTTTAGAGCCCTGAGTTCAGGCTACATTGAGGCCTTCATTCTGTGAGAAAGCTCAAGCCATATTGAGAGGCCTCACACTCCTGCTGACAGCCCAGGAGAGGTCCCAGCCTACCACCAGCATCAATGGTCCCTCACACCATAGGACTGAAGAGGTCTGATGATTCCAGCTGCTGAAGTCAACACCAGCCTTCAGGTCTCTGTAGGTCTTTCCAGTTATCACAGAACAGAGACAAGTTGTTCCCACTGGCCTTTTACAAATATTGGACCACAAGACTGATGAGCATAATGAAATAATTGCTTTTCACAACTGTGTTTCAGGATGGTTTATTATGAATAGCTAAGAGGAACTGTCATCATTATGCACCGTAATGTCTTCTTGCACACTTTCTAAAGGAACCAAGTGCCCCCCACATAGCTGCCCATACTGAGAGGCAGAGAAGGAACAGAGGTCGTGTCAGCGGGATGGTCTGGGGAAAAAGGTGAGGCCTCAGGGTGGGGAGAGCAAACCAGCCTCAGAGGGACCCCACCTCCGAAGCTCCTGTGGAAGGAGCCAGGAGTCTAACTTGCTGTGTGGCTCCGACCCCACGGCTCCATTCCAGATCCTGCTGCCTGTGGCCTTTTACTCTTGGCAGGAAGACTTCCAAGGCCACTTCTTTGGACCCTAGTATTAGGTCACATTTAGTTGGCACCTTCTAAAGGAGAAAGGAGTCTCTGTGAACCTGCTCCTCCCCACTACGGTGGCAGAAAAAGGTATTCCAGGATTTTTGTTGTTCCACTGCTCACCAGCTCTGTGACCTTGGGCAAGTCACTTTATCCCCGAGCCTGAGTTTTCTCTGCGGTAAAATCAGGCAATGAGTAGTCCTGCCCTGAAAACAGTTCCTGTGTGGATTAAATAAAATGAAGCAGATATATGTGCCCAGTCTTTTTTTTTTTTAATATATTTTATTGATTTTTTACAGAGAGGGAGAGGGAGAGTTAGAAACATCGATGAGAGAGAAACATCTATCAGCTGCCTCCTGCTCACTCCCCACTGGGGATGTGCCCGCAACCAAGGTACATGCCCTTGACCGGAATTGAACCTGGGACCCTTCAGTCTGCAGGCCGACACTCTATCCACTGAGCCAAACCAGTTAGAGCTAAGTGCCCAGTCTTAGTAAATGCTCCCTTACAGTCTGTCATTCTTTTGGGACTGTTGCCACACACACACACACACACACACACACACACACACACACACACACAGTTGATTTCAGAGACAGAGAAAGGGAGAGAAACATCGATGGAAAGGATCACTGATTGGCTGCCTCCTGTACATGCTGCACTGGGTATAGAGCCTGCAACCCAGGCATGTGCCCTAAGAATCCAACTGTGACATCCTGGTTCATAGGTCTGTCTGCTCAACCACTGAGCCACACCAGCCTGGCTGGGACTGTTGCTCATGCTGAAAACCAAAAAGTCCAGACAAGTAATGTCACTGTGAGCAGAACATTTTTGCTTCAGCCCAAGTCGCCCTGTGGGAATGTGGACGCAGCATAGCCACAGCCTCATGGAATCTAGGCTGGTGCAGTCTGGGCTGCAGGTAACAAAGTTCTGTGCTTCTATCCCAGCTCCACTTGTCTCCGCTGAGTAAAGCCAGGATGCAGTTTAGCAGGAAGAAAGGAAGCTTTTTATTTTTTCTTTCTAAATTGATTTCAGAGAGAGAAAGGAAAAGGGAGACACATCAATGATGAGATAGAATCACCAGTCAGCTTTTTCCTGCACTCCCTCTACTGGGAATGAACCCGTAATCCGAGCAGGAGCCCTACCAGGAATCTTCTGGTTCATGGGCTAACACTCAACCACTGAGCCACACCTGCCAGGCAGAAGGAAACTTTCTGCAGGATGGTACCCAGTGCACACAAGAGACCTGGATGGGGAAACAGGGTAGTTGAGTTCCTATCTTAGCTCTGCCTGTACTTGCTATAGGATTTGTAACACCTGGTACCTCAGTTTCCCCAACTATAATTCACTTCATTAAATCCTTACCAAAAGTATTAACTCTGTCATTGTCCAGCTCAGACCCACAAGGGTGCCCAGAGTAATCCCCCAGGCCTTTGCACATACCATTAAAAGCTCTCCTCCTGCCCTGGCCGATGTGCTCAGTGGTTAGAGCGCCAACTCAGCACCAAAGGATTGCAGGTTCAATTCCCAGGCAAGGGCAAACACCAGGGTTACAGGTTGGATCCCCACCTTGGATGGGGCCCTGTGGGAGGCAACCAATCCATGTCTCTCTCTCACGTTGATGTTTCTCTCTCTCTCTCTCTCTCCCTCCCTCCTTTCCGCTCTCTCTAAAAATCAATGGAAAAAGTATCCTCAGGTGAGGATTAACAAACAAGAACAAAAACAACTATCCTCCTCTCTCTGTCTTTCCTGTCTTTTCCCTTCTTGAGTCCTTAGCACCTCTCAATCTTGGATGAGGCAGTGCTTCCTTCCCAAGCCCTCTGGGTCAGTCACCCTTTACTCAATGGATTATTCTACACTGATTCCCAGTGTGTGAAGGCAATGATGATGAAGGGGAAGATGACCAGAGCCTAATTTTCCCACCAAACCATGAGCATTGTTAGAGCTGGCACAAAGGTGTCCAAAATACAGTTGTTGAATAAATGGCCTTCAGGAGACAAGAAATTCATTTGCTTAATCCTTCTGTCACTTATTAGCAGTGGAATCCAAAGCTTCTCTAAGCTTTGGTTTTCCCATCTAGCAAATGGAGTCCATAATCCGTGTTTCCCATCTCTATCTCAGAACTTTCTAAACCCTGCTGGGTGACCTTTCAAGCTAAATGAGACAGCATAGGGCATTAAACAGTGTGCCCAAATTCATGTTTACTTGGAAAAAAGGTCTTGGAAATAAGTGTCTTGGAAATAAGGTCTTTGTAGATGTAATTAAGGTGAGGATCACGGATGAGATCATTATTATTTTAGGGTGGGCCCCAACAATGACAAGTGTCCTTATAAGAGACAGAAAAGGAAGTCCTCTAGACCCCGTCACTCACACCTGGTTGAGAAACCCCTGAAGCAACTGATGAGAAGAGTTTAATGTCCACCTCGCACACCAATGATGCCCAGGGACCACCAACTAAAAGTAGAGGAGGTGAAAGCTGGCAGCAAACATTGCTACTAGATTCTTCCTGAGGTGGCAGCCCTGGGAAAGGAACAATGAGGAACAGCGCATGTGCAACTTCACCAATAGGGCCCACCCCTTTTTTCACAGGTGAGAGAGATCCAGGGTGGGGGCAAACTTGCCCCAGGGCACCCAGTGAGTGATGGTAGTGTTTAATTGTGAACT